ACTTATACTTAGTGCATAGTATAGCGTAAGTATATATATCTTATATATAAGCTATATTCGATATAATATTAGCTAATGCACTTATACTTAGTGCATAGTATATCGTAAGTATATATATTATATATATAAGCTATATTCGATATAATATTACCTAATACACTTATACTTAGTGCATAGTATAGCTTAAGTATATATATGATATATATATAAGCTATATTCGATATAATATTACCTAATACACTTATACTTATTGCATAGTATAGCGTAAGTATATATATTGTATATATATAAGCTATATTCGATATAATATTACCTAATACACTTATACTTAGTGCATAGTACAACGTAAGTATATATATATATATATATATATATATATATATATATATATATATATATATATATATATATATATATATATATATATATATACAAAAGCTATATTCGATATAATATTACCTAATACACTTATACTTAGTGCATAGTACAACATAAGTATATATATTATATATATACGCCATATTCGATATAATATTACCTAATACACTTATACTTAGTGCATAGTACAGCGTAAGTATATATATTATATATATTATATATATATACGCCTTATATATTCGATATAATATTACCTAATACACTTATACTTAGTGCATAGTACAGCGTAACTATATATATTATATATATATATACGCCTTATATATTCGATATAATATTACCTAATACACTTATACTTAGTGCATAGTACATCGTAAGTATATATTTATATATATATATATATATATATATATATATATATAAAATATATATATACACGCCATATTCGATACAATATTACCTAATACACTTATACTTAGTACATAGTACAGCGTAACTATATATATATATATATATATATATATATACGCCATATATATTCGATATAATATTACCTAATACACTTATACTTAGTGCATAGTACATATATATATATATATATATATATATATATATATATATATATATATATATATATATATATATATATATATATATATATATATATATACACGCCTTATATATTCGATATAATATTACCTAATGCACTTAGTGCATAGTACAGCATAAGTATATATATTATATATATATATATATATACGCCTTATATATTCGATATAATATTACCTAATACACTTATACTTAGTGCATAGTACATCGTAAGTATATATATTATATATATATATATACGCCTTATATATTCGATATAATATTACCTAATACACTTATACTTAGTGCATAGTACAGCGTAACTATATATATTATATATATATACGCCTTATATATTCGATATAATATTACCTAATACACGTATACTTAGTGCATAGTACAGCGTAAGTATATATATATATATATATATATATATATATATATATACACACACACACACACACACACACACATATATATACACACACACACACACACACACACACGCCTTATTCGATAGAATATTACCTAATACACTTATACTTAGTGCATAGTATAGCGTAACTATATATATTATATATATATAAGCCATATTCGATATAATAGTACCTAATACACTTATACTTAGTGCATAGTACATCGTAAGTATATATATTATATATATTAACGACTTACATTTATATTATTTAGATAGTAAATACAAAAGTGATTTTTAATTTTGACCATTGTTGACCTTAATGTAGACCAACTTTGGTCGCTAATTATACATGAAATTAATTTAGCGACCAAAGTTGGTCGCAAAATTTAAATCAGATTTATTTATATAAGTGAATCCCACTTTTGCGACCAAACTTGGTTGCTATCTGCCTACCCTTTATTTTGCGGCCAACGTTGGTCGCCAAGTTTAAAATTATATATATTTAAATTTTATATATTTTTTAAAATAATAATATAATTATTAAAATTTTGAAGGTGGGTCCCACTTTAACGACCAACATTGGTCGCTAATCTCAGTAAACCTTTGACCAAGCAAGTCTGACCAGTCCAGTCAATATTTTGATTAATTTAGCGACCAAATTGCGACCAATCTTGGTCGCTAATTTGTTTCATTTATTTATTTATTATTTTCGCTAGTTTTGTGACCAACGTTGGTCGCTTTTCTCTGCAGACCAACTTTGGTCGCTATTTTTGGTCGCTTTTTTTCGGAATTCTAGTAGTGTAATTCATCCAAATCTCGCAGTTAAATCTATCTCTTAGTTCATGTCATTCTCTACATGAATTTCCTTTGTTTCTTTCTAAAAATTGTTTGTTGTATTTGGACTTCTTGATGAATGTGGTTTTGGAGTCGGTGAATAAAGAAAAATGTTGTGCATTATTATTTATGACAGGGAGAAAGGGAATGCTATGGTGTCAAAACTAGGAAAAAACTCAGAATTTGCTGAAGTAAATATAGACGACAGAGAAGCATTAGAAGCCTATTTGACAGGCTATCCTTCCTTTTTTCATAGTTTGAATTTGAGAATGAAATACTGTCGATTTCATGTTAATATCTTGATAAGTATGTATCATCATTACCTACGTCTATGTTGCGGGGACTCTCCAAAAGAGCTGCTGCACCCGTGTCAGTTCCTCCAAAAATACACTACTTTTGGAAGATCCGACAATGCCCCCATCGACATATTCAGAGAGTCCAAGTAACATAGACCAACATCCTATGCAGTGCTATATGGTGTTATGTTTTATATCAATTTATCTTAACAGGAAAATGTTATGTTAAGTCAATGATTCTTCCTCTCTGTCATTTATCAACGTCCTGCTGTCACTTTAGCACCTCACTCTCAGTAAACTGATATTCGTTGCATTAAACTGCTTCCTTGATCGATTAGTTAAGGAATATGTGTTGTATGACTATAGATAAACTAGCACAATCATACTCTTGAAAGAAAATTATATTAGCATATATTCAGTTTGTAATTTTTTGTGTAGGACGTCATTTCTGTTTGACAAACATGTTAAAAAGTACTATGATTGTTAGATTTGACTACGGCACTTGCTTTTGGATACTTGTAAGGTAAACTAAGACAAGTCGATATACTACGACTTCCACTGGTCAGCATAGATATAGTATAAGCACGAATGTTTCCCACACGAGTGATTTTATATGTTGGCATAGTTGATGGAAGAAATATGGGGCTTATGCCAGAAAAAGAAAAAGGAAATAAGGACGGGGAATGTCAGAAGGATCTTGTTTTTTTTTTTTTCCCTTCTTTGTTTACATGTTAATGATGCATTCCACTTCTCATCCTACTTATATAAAATCACACTAGGTTCTTCATACTCCAAATATTGGCTGAAACATGGGAAATATAATTCATCTTACAATCCGCCGATTTGCAGATGTGGACATTATATTGTGGTTCATACTGCCGGGCCATTCCAACAGTCAGAAAACTGTAAAGTACTAGAAGCTGCCATTGGGACCAAGGCGAGAGAAAGGTAATCAGCATAACTTCCAAGTTTTTAACTTTTTCTTATAAGAAATGATTACAGAATTATGAAACTCTTCCTCTTATTATTAAAGAGACGATTGAAACTTTTAATTAAGTCGCGTCAATTCAACAGACAGCCTATCTTGATGTTTGTGATGACACAAACTATGCAACACGGGCAAAGTCCTATATGAATAAAGCTCTGGAAGCCAATATTCCAGCCATAACTACCGGTGGAATCTACCCAGGAGTGAGCAACGGTATTATATGTCTGATGTTATATTGTTGTGCATTTGAACAACGGAAAAAGAACAATATTCAATAATTTCTTATTTATATGGAACAGCTTAGAATGGAAATTCCTTTTAGTTCAGCAAATTCTTTTATGGAAATATTTGTTATGGTTCACAACTATTGATGGAATATAATGGATGGCAAGTATCACTTAACATATAGTTCTAGCTCAAAATAAATTAAGGTTGATTATATCTCAAATAATGTTGAGCTCGAATTCGAATATATTAATGAGGTTCAAATATTTCTAGTCTGGAATATGAAGAAGTTATTCGGCTTCAAAAACTCCAGAACTTTGCTCGATTTTCTGATGCATATGTTTTGATGTATATACATATTTAAGTAGCATATACACATATCTAGATCGTGTGGACTATTCTGTGGTTTGAGAATACAATTAAGAACTTGAAACATCATATATGTGGAATTTAACTTTTTAAGAGAATTGGAGCCAAGCTCAGTCATTTCAACCTAGAGCTTGAGCAGAAATATATAGTTCGAATAGCTCGAGCACGGGTTCTAACACCTGGTAAGCAAAGTTGAGTTGAGCCAATTTCTGCTTGGTTTGATCCATTGCAGCCTTAATTAATGGACAGTAATTTCCTAGATTGGTTATCTAGCCTTTAAAACTTTGTTTATTACATCTACAATCCCCTTTGTAGGGTTGTATCGGGAAGTTAGTATGGTACTAAGTTAGAATGTACTACTCTATCATATGAACTCAAACATTTGTCTTTTCTATATGACAGTGATGGCAGCGGAGCTTGTTCGCACTGCAAAACTTGAAAGCAATGGTGAAGTAGAGAGGCTTAGGTAACCTTTCCTGGTATATTATATTATAGGGCTTGTTTATTTTGTTTTACCGCATTGTCAAGTTTAGTCAGAGATTTGAATGAACATTGAATCATTCAGGGAATAACTTGTCATCCTAATAATATTTCCAAAGAGAGCTTCTGTTAGATGATACATCTTAACTTCTTGTCAACCCTCGTATATCAAAAGATTTCCATCTCTGCAGCAAAGTTCTATTTAATACTCGCTTCATGCAACAACAACAACAACAAATTAAGTGTAATCCCACAAGTGGGATCTGGGGAGCGTAGTGTGCACGCAAAATTATACATATGCAAAATAATTAATCAGCACATCTTCCATTTTAATGGCACACATCTTCATTTATTGATTGCTTCCATCTTTGGTTACACAACTAAATGGACCTTGGACCTAATCCAATCTCATATGCTAGCTAACTGGAAAATATTATCAAAGACCATATAACGAGATTACAACCCCTACACTTAACTGATGTGGAATTTTACCCTCCCGGATGCTCGAGGCTGGACATTTGGAATGTGAACTAACAACACATGGGCCCCGACTTTCAACACCACGTTAAGATAATGGACTTTGGACGTAATAACAACAACAACAACCCAGTAGAATCCCACTAGTGGGGCATGGGGAGGGTAAAATGTACGCAGACCTTACCTCTATCCCGAGGGATAGAGAGGCTATTTTCGGGAGACCCTCGACTCAAAGACAATAGATCTGTAGCCACAACAGAAATCAGAAACATAGTATCAGTGTCGTAAAATATAACAAATAAATAGTAAGGCCAAAATGTGATAAAAAAAAGTGAAACACCACAAAACCGCTAGCAGTCCTAGATGAAACACTATAAGACTACCCCCTAACCGACAACCCTAATGCTCAGCCTCCCGGCCCCACCTTCCTATTAAGGGTCATGTCCTCGGAAATCTGAAGTTGCGCCATATCCTGCCTCATCACCTCGCCCAGTACTTCTTAAGCCGCCCTCTACCTCTTCTCGTAACTGCCAGAGCCAAACGCTCACACCTCCTATCCGGAGCATCTAGGCTCCTCCTCGGCACGTGCCCGAACCACCTAAGCCACGCTTCCCGCATCTTGTCATCCACGGGAGCCACACCCACCCTCTCCCGAATATCCTCATTCCTAATCTTATCCATCCTAGTGTGCCCGCACATCCATCTCAACATCCTCATTTCTGCTACTTTAATCTTCTGGATATGTGAAATCTTGACTGGCCAACACTCACGCCCAGACAAAATGGACGGTCTAACCACCGCGATATGCTTAGCTCAACCCTATATGCTTAGCTCAAGTTGTGAGGATTATGTAAGATGATATAATGAGACTAAAGTCTATACACTTAATGGTGTGGAATTCTAATAGGACAATAAAAACGAAATATCCAAGGTGTGACTACTCATTACGGAAACAGTACTTGCTGAGACAGCTTTTCAATATTAGAGGAAGAACGGAAAATATAATTTGTTTGCTTCTGATTCTATGGTTTAAGCAATGACACTTAACTTTCTTGAAAGATGATCAAGTAACCTGGAATTTAATTTGCTTTATAATGTCAACACATTTGTCTTATCTTCTTTTTCTGATTCATCTTTTACATATCTAACATGTTTATATATTTATTTCAGATTCTATTACTACACTGCCGGCACCGGTGGTGCCGGACCTCTAGCTTTTTGCTTCTTGGCGAGGATGTAGTTGCATATAATAAAGGTCAGCTTTGCTGATGTAGGAACGGATTTTTTCCCCAGTCCCCCACCCTGAACCACTTGTATTTACTTATGATTTCACCAATAAATTGTAAATCTTGGCCAGGAGAGGAAATCAAATTGAAGCCTTATAGCGGAATGCTTACCATTGACTTCGGAATTGGGATCGGCAAAAAGGATGTTTTCCTCCTGTAAGTACTTGCAACAGAAAATTTGATATGAAGGATCTAGCTTTGAGCCTGTTTTGCTTGTATGAATATAGACTAATTTATCATATCACCCTTTTTAGGGTGGTTTTATAAATCAGTTTTTTTTGTCTTTCCTTACTATCAATACGTGTGACCCTGGCCTTTCATCACTTGAGTTCTATCTTTTTGAGTTTATCATAATTTTCAGAAATCTGCCAGAGCTGAAAAGTGTGCATGAGGTCCTTGGAGTACCAACTGTTAGTGCTGTGGGGTCCCTAAGTAAAATAAACAAAAAGAAAATAAGAAAGAAAAAAAATTATATGATTGGTTGAAACCATGGCAATAGTAGGCGGATAAGGTTGGGCGGTGGAACCAATTTCATAACCAATTTGCAATCTTGCAAATTAGCAAGTAGGCAACCGAACAGATTTTGATCGATTTTGGCGATCGTTCGTTCAACTATAAATAGGGATGATGTTGCCTCATTTCAAACACACCAAAAAAGAGAGAGAAGCACGGAGAGTTAGAGAGAGTAATCCACAGATTGTAGTCTGTGAGATAAATAGTGAGTGGGAGTAATATTATAGTGAGGTGTTTAAAATAAAGAGTGTTATTTCTTTCGAAGTTGTAGTAGGCTCTTGACACTACTAAGTTGTAATATTATAGTATTGTACTTTACCCCGTTAAAATATTTGGTGTCGTTGTTACTCTCTTGTGTTACTATGATTTATCGTGGATATTGTTCCTGGGCGGGATTATTTATTTTTATTCCCAACAACGTGGTATAAGAGCCATGGCGAATAATAGTCCGCTGTCTTTTCAGTATTCCCGTCTCACAAAAGATAATTATGAGAAATGGTGTCTACGTATGAAAGCCATTCTTGGCTCCCAGGATGTGTGAGAAATCGTAGATAGAGGGTATGCAAAACCCGATAATGAGTAAGCTCTGCCTCAAAATAAAAAAGATGTCTTGGCAAAGACAAGGATCAACAAGCCCTCACGCTCATCCACCAATATTTGGATGATGCCATGTTTGAGAAGGTGGCAGATGCTACCACCTCAAAAGAAGCTTGGGAGATTTTACAAAATTATCTTCAAGGAGTTGACAAGGTGAGGAAGGTAAAATTTCAAACTCTAAGGGCTGATTTTGAAGTGTTAAAAATGAAAGAATCCGAATGCATTTCGGATTATTGTTCAAAAGTGAAGGCTGTTGTGAATCAATTAAGAAGATATGGGGAGGACATAGAAGATGTCCGTGTGGTAGAAAAGATTTAGACTCTATGATGGTGGAGTAATTGGAGTGTTCTTTACAGGCCCATGAAGAAAAGATCAAGAGGAGACAAGAAGTGCCACTAGAGCAACTTCTTAAAACTCAGGCATCCTTTAAGGATTATGGAGGTGAAAAAAGCTATCGAGGGAATGGCCGGGGATGAGGCCGTGGCGGTCATGGACGAGGAAGAAGTAATGGTAACAACTTCAACAATGAAGTTAAAATCCACCAAGCATTCAGAGGTCGTGCTCGTGGGCAAAGAGGAGGAAGAAGGCATGGCTACTACCAAGAAAATAATGGACAAAGGTATGACAAATCAAAACTGAGTGTTATAATTGTCATAAATTTGGCCATTACTCTTGGGAATGTCGTAGCAATGTTGAAGAGAAAGCTAACCTTGTTGACGACAACAAAGAAGAAGATGAGTCAACGTTATTGCTGGCCCTCAAGGAAGAGGACAGGGATGATTGCAGCTCGTGGTATTTGGACAATGGAGCAAGCAATCATATGTGTGGATGCAAAGAAAAGTTTGTGGAGATCAATAAAACGGTGAGAGGTAATGTGTCCTTTGGAGATACCTCAAAGATTCATATCGAAGGGATAGGTACCATTCTGATCTCCTGTAAAGATGGTAGTCATAAGCTAATTCAAGATGTTTATTATGTGCCAAAATTAAAAAGTAATATTTTGAGTTTGGGCCAACTTCTTGAAAAGGAATATGACATCCACATGAAAAATATGCATCTTTGCCTTAGAGATTCAAGTGGAATTCTAATTGCTAAAATGCATACGACAAAGAATAGATTATTTTCTCTGAATCTTAAAACAATTAATGCAAAGTGTTTGAAGGCTAATGTGCAAGATGTATCATGGTGTTGGCACATGCGATTTGGGCACTTGAATTTTCAAGCGCTCAAATAAATGGGAGAAAAGAACATGGTACATGGGATACCATCAATCAACCATCCAAATCAACTGTGTGAAGCTTGTCTTCTTGGAAAACATGCAATGAGGAGTTTTCCAAAAGAGGCCATGTCAAGATCAACCAAGTCGCTCCAGCTTGTTCACACTGATGTGTGTGGACCAATCAATCCACCTTCTTTTGGTAAAAGTAGATACTTTCTGCTTTTCATTGATGACTTTAGTAGAAAGACTTGGGTTTATTTCTTGAACCAAAAATCTGAAGTTTTTGCTGCTTTTAAAAATTTTAAAGTACTTGTGGAGAAACTATGAAATTAAAGCTCTAAGGTCTGATAGAGGAGGCGAATTCACTTCAAACGAATTGAATGGCTTTTGTCAGTCTCATGGAATTCGTCGCCCTCTAACGGTACCTTATTCACCCCAACAAAATGGAGTTGCAGAGAGAAAGAATCGAACGATTCTTAATATGGCTCGATGTATGTTGAAAGCTAAAATTATGCCCAAGGAATTTTGGGCTGAAGCTGTTTCTTGTGCAGTTTATTTGAACAACAGGTCTCCAACAAGAAATGTTAGAGATCAAACCCCTCAAGAAGCATGGAGTGGAAGAAAGCCAAGTGTCAAACATTTGAGAGTCTTTGGGAGCCAGCATTGGTAACTAGGGATTTTGACGCATTTTATACTCCTTCTTGCTTATGCTTTGCTTAGAAATTCATACAAAATAGTCCCAAAAGGCTCACAAGTTGTGCTTGATTGCAGGTTTGATAAACAAAGTGACAAGATGTCCAAAATTAGCTCAAAAGGAGTGAAACTTGCACAAGCGCCAAAGACAAGACAAAGCTCAGGCTAAATAAGGCCAGTGCGGCCGCACTACATTCTCTGCGGTCCGCACTGGGAGATTCAGAGAGGTGAATTTTCAGGCCAAGAGGTAGTGCGGCCGCACTATCATTTTGTGCGGTCCGCACTGAGATCAACGCGGCCGCAATCCATTCTCTGCGGTCCACAATGAGAAGAATTAGAGAGCTGCAATTTCAGGATGTCAAGCCAATGCGGTCCGCGGTCCTTTTTATGCGGACCACACTAGAAGCCTCCGCAGCCGCAGCCCATTCTCTGCGGTCCGTGATGCCAAGGTTTAGAGAGCAGTTTTTCAAGCCAAAGCCCTAGTGCGGACCGCGGTCCATTTTGTGCGGTCCGCACTAACCCCGCAGGGGTATTTTTGTCTAAAATTATCAGCTTAGTATAAATAGCTTCTTTTCCATTTTTAGGTAAAAGCAGATAGATTCAGTCAAGAGCTGCGCTCGTGGTTTCGATATTTTCAACTATTTTGGGCAATTTTATCTACATTACATCATTGAATCTTTGTGTTTATCTTAGTAATCAATTAATATGAGTTTTTCTTCATCTATTTCTTATTTTTCTTCTTTGAATATGAGTAGCTAGACCCATAAGCTAGGTTTGTGGCTCAACCCTAGTGTGGGCGATTGATGGGTCTTGTAATTTAGGGCTAAATTGACTATGGGTGTTTGTTATTTTGGCCAATTTCATGGTAAATTGTTGAATTAGTGGTTGCAAACACTAGTTTGTGTTGAGTTGACTTGAGCTCTTCTTGAGAAAGAGAGCCTAAGTCTCTGAAATTGGTCCAACAAGGAATTGGGGCGTACTCAAGAGATTGATAGCCCCAATTAAAGGGTTAAACCTCGAGAGAGTAATACCCGACTTGAACCCTAGTTGCTTGTGCAAATATGCATACCCAATTGGTCTTGAGAAAGCCAATTCGGGCAAAATCACTCGAACCACCGAGAGGTGTAGAGTGGGTAAAGTCGTGCGACGGTTATATCATACTCCCCAATATGTCAAACGTGCCTCAGACTCAAGTACCCGTCAATCGACCACCTAGGCGAAAGTCACTATCCTAGTGCCTTTTAACCTATTTGAAAAACTCGTAGCATTATAACTCTTAGCTTAATCTAGTTGCAGTTACCTTTTGTAGTTTGATAAATAGTAAAAGTAAACAAAAATCTCAAAAATGAATAGAAGTGTAATTTGGATCACATACGCAACTCTACACTAGATAGATACTCGATTCCAAATTTTAGCTCTCTGTGGATATCGATCCCGATCCAAAATCGGGTAAAAGCTGCTCCGACCCTCTCTCGCTACTTAATTAGTAGTGCGGAGTAGGCCGCGACCACTTTTTGGCGCCGTTACCGGGGAGCTAACGGTTTTGGCTATCTATTTAGTTAGATTTGTGTTTTGTTCTTCTTTCCTTATTTGTTACTAATTTGTTTGTGTCAATACATCAGGTACAAAATGGCATTAAATGCTAATGACCCTCTTGGAAACGTGAATGCGGGGGAGGAGGTAGATGACAAGGAGATGAAGAGGTGCCTCTTGTACCTCAAGGACAACGTAGAGGCCGCCAGGCCAATGCAAATGAGAACGTCCCAGACCCTCCTCCGCCACCTCCAAGAGTGGCTCCTAGAGTTCTTCCCAACCAAGGCTATGCGAGTGCTATTGTTCCGCCCCGGATTCGGGCGGGCAATTTTCAAATAACCAACGTGATGCTGACATTATTGGAGCAGCGTGGGTATTTCACAGGCGCTGCCACTTAAAATGCTTACAAATATCTCAAGGGGTTCGTGGATACCTGTTGGGGGAGCAAGCAAACCAATGTGTCCGAGGATGCACTTCGATTGAGGCTTTTCCCATTCTCACTTAGGGGGAAAGCATTGGATTGGCTTGAGCGACTTCCCAACCATTCCATCACAACTTGGGATGAGTTGGCGGATAAGTTCATTGCCAAATTTTTCTCACCGGGACACATGGCAGCACTACGGGATGAGATCTTAGCCTTCAAGCAGGAGCCTACTGAACCATTGCACGAGATTTGGGAGCGATATAGAACTATGGTGAAGGAATGCCCCAACAATGATATGACAAAGGCAATGATACAACAGACCTTCTATCGGGGCATCAATACAACGAATCAGTGCATAGTGAATCAATTGGCTGGGGGAAATTTCATGAAGCTGCCTTATGATGAAGCTTGTGCTATTCTTGATGAAATGGCTGA